GCGCAGTTTGATCCATATTTTAGATTTAGGGGAGCTAGTCTCAAACATTTGTTGGGGGAGACCTAGGTTTTTTGGGAGGGATTTATTTGTCCTGTCTCCACACTTTTTATGATAGAGGACCACTGTAGTCACCCCCAACGACACGTTCCCAAGATGGAGGGTGAGGGAACAGCTGCAGTCGCCTGTGGTTCCTGCGCAATGTTTGCCATCTTGCCAAAGGTTGCAGGCAGCTTTACCTGCAGCAATTGCATGTTGATTGCCCTCTTAAAAGACAAAGTCCAGCAACTGGAGGAACGTGTAGCTACGCTCCAAAGAATTAGAGAGCTGGAACTCTTCTTGGAAGCAACAGAGCACACCGTCTCCACCAAGGAAGAGACAGGGGACTCCCCTGAGAAGGTGGCTAGTTCACCAACACAGGAGCCAGATATATGGAGAAACGTGACTCAAAGAAGTAGGAGGCCCAGGGTTCGCTCTGATTGTTTAGAAATACGCAATCGCTTTGAGGTCCTTTCCCCTAGCATGGAAGACGAAGAGCAGACTCCATTTGAGGATCTCTCCCTCATTACAGTCGATCAGGTATATGAAGACGAGGAGCAAAGGCAGTCCTCTGGGAATGTCCAGGCGACCTTGGAACCGACAGCTCACAGAAGAACCCCGACCAGACCTAAGAGGAGGCGTGTAGTGGTGATAGGGGATTCCCTACTGAGGGGAACAGAAGCAGTGATCTGTGGGCCTGACAAGATGTCTCGGGAAGTGTGCTGTCTCCCCGGGGCTAAGATCCAAGATGTAACTGAACGACTGCAAGGAATCATAAAACCCACTGACAAATACCCCTTCCTCTTGGTTCATGTGGGAACCAATGACACTGCAAGCAATAGCCTCCAGAAGATCAAAAGAGATTACGAGGCTCTGGGCAGGAAATTGAAGCAATTAAATGCACAAATTGTCATCTCATCTGTCCTCCCAGTTGAACGACGTGGCCCAGGGAGAGAGGGAAAAATAGTGGAAGTGAACAACTGGCTTCGCAAATGGTGCAAACAGGAACGGTTTGGATTCTTAGATCACGGAATGCAGTTTCTTGAAGATGGACTTCTGGCAAGCGATGGGCTGCACCTCACAACGGTTGGGAGGAATGTTTTTGCAAAAAATCTCAGAAACCTCATCAGGAGGGCTTTAAACTGACTAATGTGGGGGAGGGAGACAGTGCTCCTGAAGGTAGGAGTCTATCAATTGATGAAGATGATCATCCAAATGTCATAGACCGAATGGAGCAAAGAGCATGCAGACCTAGTGGTGGGAGGAGAAAATCCTTAAATAAGAGACACGGGGGAATGATTAATGGACTTCAATGTCTGTACACTAATGCGCAAAGCATGGGAAATAAACAAGATGAGCTTGAGCTCCTGGTACAGCAAACTAAATATGACATAATAGGAATCACTGAAACCTGGTGGGATAAATCCCACGATTGGAATGTAATAATGGAGGGATACAATCTATTTCAAAGAAACAGACCAGACAAGAAAGGAGGAGGAGTGGCGTTATATGTCAGGGATGTGTATACCTGTGAAGAGATCCAAGATTTAGAACCTCAAAGCCAAAGTGAGAGCATTTGGGTCAAAATTAAGGGAGAGAAGAATAACAGTGACCTCATTGTGGGAGTTTACTATAGATCCCCAAGCCAAACGGAGGACATAGATGATGCCTTCCTGGAACAGATGGCCAAGCATGCAAAAGGAAGGGAGATAGTAGTAATGGGGGACTTCAATTACCCGGATATTTGTTGGATGTCAAACTCAGCCAAGAGCATAAGGTCAAACAGATTCCTCACTGCCCTTGCAGACAACTTCATTGTCCAGAAAGTGGGAGAAGCAACAAGAGGAACAGCCATTTTAGATCTGGTCCTAACCAATGTTGATGACCTGGTTAGTGGGGTAGAAGTGGAAGGATCATTAGGCGCGAGTGATCATGCTCTTCTGAAGTTTACTATACAGCGGAAAGGAGCAGCCAAGCATACTAGGACTCAATTTCTCGACTTTAAGAAAGCCGACTTCATAAAGCTTAGGGAAGTGCTGGGTGAGATCCCATGGACAGTAATACTAAAAGGAAAGGGAGTTCAAGATGGCTGGGAGTTTGTTAAGAGGGAGATAGTAAAAGCACAACTTCAGGCAATACCAATGAGACGGAAACATGGAAGGTGCCTAAAGAAGCCAGGGTGGCTATCTAAAGAACTTTTAACTGAGTTAAGATTAAAAAAGGATGTGTACAAAAAATGGAAAAGGGGGGAAACCACCAAAGAGGAATTCAAACAAATAGCCAGCACGTGTAGACACAAAGTCAGAAAAGCTAAAGCACAAAATGAACTCAGGCTTGCTAGAGAGGTTAAAAGCAACAAAAAAGGCTTTTATGGGTATGTTCGTAGCAAAAGGAAGAACAAAGAAACCGTGGGGTCACTCAGAGGAGAAGATGGTGAAATGCAAACAGGGGACACAGAAAGGGCTGAACTCCTCAATGCCTTCTTTGCCTCAGTCTTCTCCGATAAAGAAAACAATGCCCGACCTGAAGAATTTGGAGCAAATGATTCAGCAGAGGAAACACAGCCCAGAATAACTAAGGAGATAGTACAAGAATACTTGGCTAGTCTAGATGTATTCAAGTCTCCAGGGCCAGATGAACTGCATCCAAGAGTATTAAAAGAACTGGCAGATGTGATTTCAGAACCACTGGCAGTCATCTTTGAGAATTCCTGGAGAACAGGCGAAGTCCCGGCAGACTGGAGGAGGGCAAATGTTGTCCCTATTTTCAAAAAGGGGAAAAGAGAGGACCCAAATAATTACCGCCCAGTCAGTCTGACATCAATACCAGGGAAGATTCTGGAGCAGATCATTAAGCAAACAGTCTGTGAGCACCTAGAAAGGAATGCTGTGATCACCAATAGTCAGCATGGATTTCTGAAAAATAAGTCATGTCAGACTAACCTGATCTCGTTTTTTGACAGAATTACAAGCCTGGTAGATGAAGGGAACGCAGTGGATGTAGTCTACCTTGATTTCAGCAAGGCATTTGACAAGGTGCCCCATGATATTCTTGTAAAGAAGCTGGTAAAATGCGGTCTTGACTATGCTACCACTCAGTGGATTTGTAACTGGCTGACTGACCGAACCCAAAGGGTGCTCATCAATGGTTCCTCTTCATCCTGGAGAAGAGTGACTAGTGGGGTGCCACAGGGTTCTGTCTTGGGCCCGGTCTTATTCAACATCTTTATCAACGACTTGGATGATGGACTCAAGGGCATCCTGATCAAATTTGCAGATGACACCAAACTGGGAGGGGTGGCTAACACCCCAGAGGACAGGATCACACTTCAAAACGACCTTGACAGATTAGAGAACTGGGCCAAAACAAACAAGATGAATTTTAACAGGGAGAAATGTAAAGTATTGCACTTGGGCAAAAAAAATGAGAGGCACAAATACAAGATGGGTGACACCTGGCTTGAGAGCAGTACATGTGAAAAGGATCTAGGAGTCTTGGTTGACCACAAACTTGACATGAGCCAACAGTGTGACGCGGCAGCTAAAAAAGCCAATGCAATTCTGGGCCTCATCAATAGGAGTATAGCATCTAGATCAAGGGAAGTAATAGTGCCACTGTATTCTGCTCTGGTCAGACCTCACCTGGAGTACTGTGTCCAGTTCTGGGCACCACAGTTCAAGAAGGACACTGACAAACTGGAACGTGTCCAGAGGAGGGCAACCAAAATGGTCAAAGGCCTGGAAATGATGCCTTATGAGGAACGGCTAAGGGAGCTGGGCATGTTTAGCCTGGAGAAGAGGAGGTTAAGGGGTGATATGATAGCCATGTTCAAATATATAAAAGGATGTCACATAGAGGAGGGAGAAAGGCTGTTTTCTGCTGCTCCAGAGAAGCGAACACGGAGCAATGGATCCAAACTACAAGAAAGAAGATTCCACCTAAACATTAGGAAGAACTTCCTGACAGTAAGAGCTGTTCGACAGTGGAATTTGCTGCCAAGGAGTGTGGTGGAGTCTCCTTCTTTGGAGGTCTTTAAGCAGAGGCTTGACAACCATATGTCAGGAGTGCTCTGATGGTGTTTCCTGCTTGGCAGGGGGTTGGACTCGATGGCCCTTGTGGTCTCTTCCAACTCTATGATTCTATGATTCTATGCAAAACTCTTCATTGCCACCTAACCATGCTGTGTTGGTGGTTCGGATTTCAATTCCCCCCACCCCACTTCCTAGTATGAGAAGATTCCAGGGCAGCATCTATTAATAGTATTTCCCTTTTCTTCCTGTTTTAGGCTTCCTGCACCTTTAAGCAAAGCCAGAATGCCAATATTAAGGGAAGTCTGCTTTGCATAATCTCTAAACCCAGTAAAATCTTGAGATAAATTTTAAAATAAAAGGAATTCTGAAGAGACTGAAGTTCAAAAAGGAGACTCTCCAGATGCAGGCCACAATAGTTTAATAGTTTAGGCACACTCGGGGCCTTCAAAACTCTCAGTGAACACCACCTCCCTGTGCCATAAAGCAGAAAGTCCCTCCATTTCTTATGTGGTTTCTCCATACAGTATGGGTGATACAAGTCCCAAGTTCCACTGGCGATGCAGAGGTTGTGCTCCATTTCTTGACTACTTGGCTACATTTTTTTAAAAAAAGAAGCTGCTCATCACTCTGAATATTAATGCTATACACCACTATATGGAATTAATAGTACCAAAGGAAAATAAGTTGTTACACTTCTCAGAAGATGTTTCCAGAAATATCATACAGAATTAAAAGTTTAGACCAGTGGCTTAGCATTGACACATGTCAGTCTTTTATGATATGAATATTTTTTATATTTTTTTGACATGTATCATGTAAGCTTTTTGGAATACTGTTTGTTGGTCAGCAGTAATATGTACCAAACAGTTACAACTGAAAGGAATATATTCTTTATGAAATATTTAAAAAGCTCCTCCTCCTTTCTTTTTTTAGAAGAGGCTACAGAAAGAACTGTTGGCTTTACAGAATGACCCACCGCCAGGAATGACTTTGAATGAAAAGAGTGTCCAGAATTCAATTACACAGTCAGTGTGTTTACATTTTCATAATTTCTTTTCTAGGTGAAACTGAAAATGGGCAGGATGTTGTGTTTTCCTAACAATATACTGTTTAAAAAATTGTGAGATGTACAATATCTGACCTATGCATGTACATTAATTATATTTGAAGCTTGTTATAGTATACTTATACATAGTTATTGACCTATGCATTTATATTAAATATATTTGCAAGTATGGTATAGTGTAAATATGGGGTTGTATCCAGTGCTACTGCACAGGGTTACGCTGGTGCAATGGGATTTGCATTTCCTCTCCTCAGGCCATGTGCCCCCAGGTCTGCTCTGAAGGGTCCCCTAACCCCTCTGAAGCAGATTTTGACAAAAGGGAGCAAACAGGAGAGAAAGAAGTTCATTGTGCTTGCAGAAGTCTCATGTGCCTGCTGAGCTGTATGGATATAGTCTATAGTAAGTATTGGATTCACACAATCAGCAGCTGGAGCTGTTACTCTCAAAATAGTTGGGTGGCAGTAAAGTTACAGAAGTTTTCTTTATTTGTTATATAACTTTATTTGTTATATTTATATCCTGCCTTTCCATAAAAAATGCCCAAGATGGCATTTTTAAATGAATAAATTAAGAATGTTCTGCTTTTTATCTAGTTTTGGGGCTGTTCATTCTAAATAATAATAATAATAATAATAATAATAATAATAATAATAATAATAATAATAATATATTATTTATACCCCGCCCATCTGGCTGAGTTTCCCCAGCCACTCTGGGCGGCTCCCAATCAGTGTTAAAACAGTACAGCGTTACATATTAAAAACTTCCCTGAACAGGGCTGCCTTAAGATGTCTTCTGAATATCAGGTAATTATTTATCTCTTTGACATCTAATGGGAGGGCGTTCCACAGGGCGGGCGCCACTACCGAGAAGGCCCTCTGTCTGGTTCCCTGTAGCCTCACTTCTCGCAATGAGGGAACCGCCAGAAGGCCCTCGGCGCTGGATCTCAGTGTCCGGGCTGAATGATGGGGGTGGAGACGCTCCTTCAGGTATACAGGACCGAGGCCGTTTAGGGCTTTAAAGGTCAGCACCAACACTTTGAATCGTGCTCGGAAACGTACTGGGAGCCAATGCAGGTCTCTCAGAACCGGTGTTATATGGTCCCGGCGGCCACTCCCAGTCACCAGTCTAGCTGCCGCATTCTGGATTAATTGCAGTTTCCGGGTCACCTTCAAAGGTAGCCCCACGTAGAGCGCGTTGCAGTAGTCCAAGCGTGAGATAACTAGAGCATGCACCACTCTGGCGAGACAGTTCGCGGGTAGGTAGGGTCTTAGCCTGCGTACCAGGTGGAGCTGGTAGACAGCTGCCCTGGACACAGAGTTAACCTGCGCCTCCATGGACAGCTGTGAGTCCAAAATGACTCCCAGGCTACGCACCTGGTCCTTTAGGGGCACAGTTACCCCATTCAAGACCAGGGAATCCCCCACACCAACCCGCTCCCTGTCCCCCAAAAACAGTACTTCTGTCTTGTCAGGATTCAACCTCAGTCTGTTAGCCGCCATCCATCCTCCAACTGCCTCCAGGCACTCACACAGGGCCTTCACCGCCTTCACTGGTTCTGATTTAAAGGAGAGGTAGAGCTGGGTGTCATCTGCGTACTGATGAACACCCAGTCCAAACCCCCTGATGATCTCTCCCAGCGGCTTCATATAGATATTAAAAAGCATGGGGGAGAGGACAGAACCCTGAGGCACCCCACAAGTGAGAGCCCAGGGGTCTGAACACTCATCCCCCACCACCACTTTCTGGACATGGCCCAGGAGGAAGGAGCGGAACCACTGTATGACAGTGCCCCCAGCTCCCAACCCCTCTAGATGGTCCAGAAGGATGTTATGGTCGATGGTGTCAAAGGCCGCTGAGAGATCCAGCAGAACTAGGAAACAGCTCTCACCTTTGTCCCTAGCCCGCCGAAGATCATCAACCAGTGCGACCAAGGCAGTTTCAGTCCCATGGTGAGACCTGAATCCCGATTGGAAGGGATCCAAATGGTCCGTTTCCTCCAGGCGTTCTTGGAGTTGTTCAGCAACCACCCGCTCAATCACCTTGCCCAAGAATGGCAGATTTGAGACTGGGCGATAGTTGGCCAAATTGGCCGGGTCTAAAGATGTTTTTTTAAGAAGCGGTTTAATGACCGCCTCTTTCAGCGGGTCTGGGAAGGCTCCCTCACAGAGGGAAGCATTCACCACCCCGCAGAGCCCATCGCCCAGCCCTTCCCGGCTCGCTTTTATCAGCCAGGATGGGCAAGGATCAAGGAGACAGGTGGTCGGTTTCACTTTTCCAAGCAGCCTGTCCACATCCTCGGAGGTAACAGACTGGAATTGATCCCATGTAACAGGACCAGACAGAACTCTAGCACTCTCCCGCCCTGGCCCTGCTCCCACGGTGGAGTCTACCTCCTTCTGAATCTGAGCGATTTTATCTGCAAAAAACTTTGCAAAAGCATTGCAGGAGATCTTGGGGTCCCTACCAGGCCCCGGTGGTACAGGTGGTTCCGATAGATTGCGAACCACCTGAAAAAGTCTCCTGCTGCTGTTTTCTGCAGATGCAATGGAGGCGGCGAAGAAGGCCCTCTTCGCCGTCGCCATTGCCACTTGGTAGGCTCGACGTTGAGCTCTAACCCGTGTCCGGTCTGATTCAGAATGAGTTTTCCGCCACCGGCGCTCTAGCCGTCTCAACGATTGTTTCATCACCCTCAGCTCCGGGGAAAACCACGGGGCTGTCCGGGCTCCATGCAATCGGAGAGGGCGCTTCGGAGCCAGACAGTCAATAGCCCTGGTTAACTCCGCATTCCAGCGTGCCACCAGGGAATCAGCTGAAAGGCCATCAACTTGGGATAAAGCATCCCCTACCACTCTCTGGAAGCCAATTGGATCCATTAAGTGGCGGGGGCGGACCATCCGAATCGGTCCCACCTCCCTGCAGAGGGGAAGGATTGCAGAGAAGTCCAGTTGCACCAGGAAGTGATCTGACCATGGCACTTCTTTTGTTTCGCTTTTAGTTAGTGTCAGATCACCAACATCCATAGAGGTGAACACCAAGTCTAAGGCATGTCCATGGCTATGAGTTGGGCCAAACTTATTCAGGGACAGCCCCATGGAGGCCATGCTTTCCACGAAGTCCCGAGCGGCCCCTTGTAAGGTCGTGTCGGCATGGATGTTAAAATCCCCCAGGACAACCAAGCTAGGTGTCTCCAGGAGCATATCCGCCACGACCTGAAGCAGCTCGGGCAGGGAATCCTTGGTGCAGCGGGGAGGTCGGTACACCAGTAGGAATCCTGTACTGCCCCTATTGCCCAACTTCCAGAACATGCACTCAGATAACTGGGTCTTCCCAATAGGACGCCTGGTGCAGACTAATGACTTCCTAAAAATCACTGCAACCCCCCCTCCCCGCCCACATGACCTGGGTTGCTGTGCGTAAGAGAAGCCTGGTGGGCAAGCAGCGGCAAGGACAGGCCCATCTGCTTCATCCAACCAGGTCTCTGTCACACATGCCAGGTCAAATCCTCCATCCACAATCAGGTCGTGGATGGCAGTGGTTTTATTCATCATTGACCTGGCATTGCACAGCAACACTTTCAGGTCATGTGGGTTTCCCTTGCTGATTCCAGTATCCTTCCGGTCAGGACCAGACCTGGAGGCAGGGATAGTCCTCAGACAACGACTAAACCTGCCTCCTCGGTAATGACATGGTCTGGTCTTAGCGTAACTCCTCCTCCTACCCATGATCACTGAGATCGGTTGTCCCAGTGCATCCCCCCCTGTGGAACATGCCCCAACCATTTTGTTTGCTGGGACCCACTCCCAGGCAGCCCTGACCCCACCCCTTAAAAAGCAAAATACAAATTATATAATAATTTAACAGAATAATAATAATAATAATAAAACAAAACAGAACAAAATAAAACAAGAAACAATAGCGCTGACTAAATGCTTATCCCTCCCCAAGCAAAAATAAAATAGTAAAATAATATAATATTATAAAAAACAACAACAACCATTTAAGGTGCTGCAAATTAAAAACAATTAAAACATTTAAAACCATTTTGTCCATTGCTGCCGGTAGCTGCTCAGGCCTCTAAACTGTAGTGGTAGTGCAGGCCCCGCCCCCTAGGCCGGATGGAGTTGGCAGAGGAAGGAGCAGTCTTCCCAACACTCACACAAGCAGCAACAGCAGCCGTGTCCCGGAGTCACAAAACTCCACAGTTGGAATGCAGACTGATTTTAAAGGTTTTCTTTCTTCTACCTTTTCATGTGAGGTACTGAAATAATTATAAAGTGAAAGGGCAAAAAACCTATGGACAATTGTTCTGTATTCTATAAATATTTGTGTTCATGTTTGTTGACTTATTTGAAGGGAGCTGTGGACACAGTTGTCAGTATAGCATCAAGGTGTCCAATATTCAGAACTGTACACATAGTTTACACAACTGAATTAGGAACTGCTTTCAGCAATGCATGGGTGACTGGCTGGTGCTGTCAGCTTCAAGTGATTTAGGTACAAACATTGCTCACTTGGAGACATGATTTACAAGGGCATCTCTTTTTATAGAAAAGAATGGTATGTGGTTCTGGTAGTTTTGTGAATATTGAGAATCCTTCAGCCTTTTTTTCATGAAATAAGAAGTTCAGGTTTTGGGGTTGGCATCACAAAATATTTCTTGCTATTGCCTCTAACGTTCAATAAAGTTAAATCTTCATTGCTCTTGATTAATTATGAATGTATTCATAATTTTTGTCAAAAGTACATCAGGACAGTAATTTACAATTTATATTCACAATTTAAGCAAAAGCAGTTCTTGCTAGAATTGCAATTTACCTGTCTACCCCTCCCACTTTGAAATAGCTAATATTATTTGTTATTAGAAATTTGAAAAGGTTATAGTCCAAATTTGATATCAGGCACAGTTCTGCTGGTAGGAGGTGGTAGACTGAATGTACAATTCAGAGACTTCCTTTAAACATGGCCAAGGATTAACTCATGCAATGGGACTTTTAAAGATTTTTTTCTGTAAGCATTAGACCTTCCTCAACATTGAAAGTTGCTTTTTGCCACTGTGAGATTAAAAGAAGACCCTTTTCAGTGTAGGAAACAGCTGCTTGCAAACTAGAACTCAAAACCTCCACTAGATATATTGAGTTACTAATTTTTGTCTCTGTGTTGTGTAATTTATTTTATTTCCAAAGATGGATTGTAGACATGGAAGGTGCTCCTGGAACATTATATGAAGGGGAGAAATTTCAGCTGCTATTTAAATTCAGTAGTCGGTATCCATTTGACTCTCCTCAGGTAACTTACACTATCATATATTTAGTTTCAATTTTAAACCACTTGTGTAGCAAAAGTTGATTATACATTGATTACAACTCATTGGGCGAAACTCATTGCCACTCCAGCAGATATTGTGGAATTTCCCTTTTTCTCTCCTCCCTTGTTCTGGAGGGTTGCCCAATCCTGTGGAGCAGATTTTGGCACTACATGGGATGCTGAAGTGGGGAAGGGGAAGGCCTCTGTGCATAAGTGGGATGCTACAATTGGATATCACACATTGTGTTATCTCTTCAGAGAGCAATAATAGGTTTTTTTTCCTGGCAGTAAGTGCTGTTTTGTTTTTATTTATAATTTTCATTTATATACAGTATATAACAACAATTATTCAATCATAATTTTAACATTTCAAACTCCAACTCACTACCCCCTCTTTCTGTGGTTCTTTACATTTCTTTTCATCTTCCTGCATACTCCAAATTATCTCAACATATTATTTTATATATATTTTGAAACTACAGGTATTTACATTAATCCTGCCAATGTGTTAATCTATTTACAGTTTGTTTGTAAATACTCAATAAACCATTTCCATTCCTTTCTAAAAAAAATAAAAATGTTATCTTGATTTCTTATTCTCCTGGTAGGTTCGCCATTTCTCCGTAGTCCATTAACTTCTGTATCCATTATTCTCATATCAAGACCTCTTCTTCCTTCCATTTTTGGGCACATAACATTCTTGCAGCTGTGGCTGCATACATAAATAAATTTATATACGGTTTAGATAGTTCTGATCCCATAATTTCCAAAAAAAGCTTTTGGGTTTTTAAAAAATAAATGTTATCTTTTTCAGTTAATTACATAACATCTCCCAGTAAGCTTTAACCTTATTACAAGGTACCATCCACATATGAAAAAGGTACCAACTTTCTCTTTACATTTTCAACACATATTCGATTTTGATTTATACATTTTTGCCAATTTTCTAGGTGTTAGGTACTATCTATATAGCATTTTCATATAGTTTTCTCTTGAACTATAACATGCTGTAAATTTTATATCCACGTTCCATAAACGTTCCTGTACATCCATTTCTACATTATGACTAATATTTGTTGCCCAATGTATCATTGAAGATTTCACTTGTTTGTTCTTTGTCTCCCAAGCAATAAGAATAGTTTAGCCATAAATTGAGCACCTAATTATCCACCATGGCAAATAATATTGACATTTTGAGTGGCATTCCTTGTTCCAGCAATTGACTGTGAACCATGCCTTATCTTTATGCCTCATCCTTAGCACTCAGAAATTTGCCTTCGTGCCTGTGACTTAAAAATGGCTTGCTAAACAGGAGCAAACTGGATTAAAGTTTATATGTAACATGGCTAGCTGTTTTTCACTGAAACCAAAAAATGCTGCACAAATTCTGTGACTTACCTGTATTAATATTAGAATAAAGTTATAAACTCAAACAAAAAAGCAGTCAGTTCTTGGACCAGGGCATGTATACCCAGCTGCCCAACCCTCTGCATGGGCCTGGTTAAGGACTTTCCTTTTGTGGACTGCTTTTGAATGAGGTCTGCCTGGCATGTTCGTTGACATCTTTTTGGTGCTAGGTAAAATACTACTGTACCTTTTTTTCTTAGACCATGATGACGTTATTCACTATTAGTGTGCTGCCACAGTTTTCTGCTTTTGTTATTGAGGGTGAGGAGAAGCTTTGTGTATTTTTCATGAATAGCATGTGCTTTTATGTGAATGTGTTGATGTTATAATGTATTTTTACTTTTGCTCATGTAAATTGATTGGACACCTTATTATGTAACAAGTGGTCAACCAGTTTGATAATTAAACAATATCCTTATCTTGGGCAAAAGAAAGAAATAGCAAAATCTGTGTTGTGTGCATGGAATAAAAGAAGATCTGAAATCATACCTTAGGAATTATTGTATATGGAAAAGAAGAAGTGAAATCCCATTTATTAAATAGTGGATGACCAAGTGATAGACTCTAAAACCTACATATTACAAGATAGGGAAAGTAGGATGTAATTGATGTTTTTTCCAAAATTGGAAAAGGAATAATGAGCATGGATTATTTAGTTTGGTTGAAATTATGTCTTTTCATAAGGCATATGTTTTGGTCCAATGATTGATGTCATAAAACATGGAAGTTATATAAACTGTGTAATTTCCCTCTCAAATTAAGTAAATCATAGCTGATATATATATATATCTATATATATATATATAGAGAGAGAGAGAGAGAGAGAGAGAGAGAGAGATACTGTCAATAAAATGCTAATATATTAATTCTTTATTTTATTTTTAGGTCATGTTTACTGGTGAAAATATTCCCATTCATCCTCATGTTTATAGCAATGGTCATATCTGTTTATCTATTCTAACAGAAGACTGGTCTCCAGCTCTTTCAGTGCAATCAGTTTGTCTTAGCATTATTAGCATGCTTTCCAGCTGCAAAGAAAAGGTAAGTCTTTAGAAATAGCCTTGTGATACGACGAAAACCTCCCATTCTAAAACTGAGGTTTTATTTGTACTTATTAATTTTCCCTTTCTAAGCGTGATGGAATAGTTTAGTAGTTCTAAGTTAAGTGATATGCTGGAACTGAAGGTCAAATGAGTCAATATTTACTGGGGGGGAAATATTTCTGTTGAGTAACTGTTACTGCAATAAAAAGGTTTTGTGTAGAAGAAAGGCAATTGCTTTTCTAATCCAGTAAATAACAAACATTAAGACTGAATAGTGTATATACCAATTTCAGTTACTGAATTAGTTCATGTAACAAAAAGGAGTGTCGGAATATAGCAGAATGCACTTGGTCTGCTCTCCAGTGCACTTACTTGGGATTAAAAGCCCCATTTAACTCAGGGAGACTTACTTCTGAGTAGATGTGCATAGATTATTGCACTGTAAGGTATGCAAACATTTTATTGAATAATAATTTGGTGTCTATTCAGACAAATGCTAGAATGCTAACCTATGTTAGTTTATTTCAGCAAACATAAATTATAGCACCTTAAAAGTTTAAAAAAATTATTATGCGCAAACGAAGACAAGAGCCTACATGATTATCATGCATCTCAAGTTCACTTTTATTCCACTGAATCTTTATTGCATAGGTAGAATAACCCTTTCTGCTTCAAAAACCATTAAGTTTGCAGCACAATCAGAGGGTATTTTGACTTTTCAAGCTGGCAAGAGTTGGAGAAGAAGAAAGCTCCTAAATGTCAAGTTCGCTTATCATTGCTATTAATGCCTTTTTTGCATGTATGTATAATCTTATACTGTATATCAGAAATATACTGATTTGATGGGCCTTTATTGCAGAGACGACCACCTGATAATTCATTTTATGTAAGAACATGTAACAAGAATCCAAAGAAAACAAAATGGTGGTATCATGGTATGTATTGACCTTGAAGAAATAAGCAATGCATCTAAGAGCATTTGAAGTTCCTGGGAATAACAGTGGTTAGATTTGCTTTACTGAACACAATACTGTATGTGAGGAAGAGTGATAGCTTAATGGTAGAGCACTTGCATGCTATGTTGAAAGCCCCAGGTTCAGTCCATTGCTGCATTAGTAACAGGTTTAGTTAGAAAAAACCTATGCCTGACATTGTCGAAAGCTGTTGGCAGTGAGTGGACACAGTACTATCATATTTGATATAAGGCAGCACTTTGTATCCTGGGTGGTCTTCAATTGAGTTTTACTCAGAGTAGATCTTTTAAAATTAATAGTCCTAACTTAGTCATGTTCATTAATTCCAATGGGTCTGCTCTGAGTAAAATTTCATTGAAGGCCACCCATGTATCCTGTGTAAAAATAAGCCTCCGATATCCACAGAGATTGAATTGGATCTGGACTTGCAGCTAACTGGTGGAATTCTGCTTTTACCAGAGGAAGCAAGGAGGCAATTTCTACTAATTTCTGCTTTCCTGTGCCTCCTGAAAATTTGGGGGTTGGGGTATTCTCTGGAATAACATGAGAGATTGCATGGCTACACTGAAGCAGGAAGGGGAATTGGCAGTAATTAGTTCCTCCCCCCCTTCCACCAGCAGGGAGCTTCTGCTGGATCTCTGTCCCTTCTGCAAAATGCAACAGGCTTTCTGTCTATGGAATGGCCATTTTGGATCCAACTCAAGAAGTCCATAACACTAGAACCCTTCCAGCCCCCAGCCAAGTTGTGACACATACAAAGAGTCAGCTTTTATTTTAGGTGCATGTAAGGAGTTGCTGGTCATGATATATGGGTACCAGTTACATTGGACTGTATCCAACAGCACGAGGACTTCCACTTATGCAATTCCCTTTCCTCTCCCCGTGTGCTTCTTCAAAATCTCCTTCTCCACTGTGCAAGCCAGGAGGGTAATGAAAGAAAAGCATTCAGAGTATCTTATCAGGGATAATAATATCTGCTGTGGCTGGACTTGGATGGGAAAGATCAAGAGCAGAACCTAGCGGAATTCTGAACCCTTTTTCCTTGAAAATCTAGGTCCCATGGCAATGATAGAGGGATGAACTGTTGTTTGAGGAAAAGCAAGCCTAAAATCTGCTTCGGTTCATAGTTCTTTGCATATTGGCCTTAATTTATTTAATCAGAACAAAGCAATACATTGGTTCAGATTATGTGGTCTGTTTTTCCAGAATGTGTAGGTTTTCATAATTTTCCAGGGTTCTTTATTGAACAAGCAAATCAATATATGTTGACCTTGTTACCATATGTGCTGGTAGGTGATATTTTGGCCTTAAATAATTTTGTAGATTTTGGACATCAATATATGTTTAGTACATAATTTTGTTTTTGTTTTGCTTTAAAGATGACACTTGTTGATGCCACCATTTTGTGATACTCCTAACAGAAGATAGTCCTACTGAGAAAATGAGCACTTTGATCATTCAGTCTTTGAACTTTTAACCTCTGACTGGAAGTGACAAATAGGCAATGAAGACTACTTCCCTTGACTGCATTTTTACTGGTGTGCATTCTGGGCGCATGTTGATCGCTGGTTCAGTCCATGCTACTGACGTGCTTTTCTTAGTCATACAGTATTAATGCAGGTGTTAGAAAATGTCAGAATTCAATCTTTAAATTTTTTGGGAGAATTCCAGGTCTTCATGTATTGTGCAATAATAAGAATTTCTTGACGGTTTTTGGTGTACCCATTGCCGGCAAAAGATTGTATCAGGAAACTTATACCCCTGCCACAAGAAAAGTTAGATGCATGATAGGGCCTATAAAAAGTTTGTAAGTATATTGGTATTATAAAGTAACCTATCTTTACTTTGAAAGCCACCTAATTGTTTAGATTTGGATTCTGTGCACTGTGATCATAAAACTAGCAGCGTGAGTTGAAACATGCTTAGCTAAAGAACTAATAAGATCATTGCATATTTACTGAACTCTCAATGTTTTCACAATGAATTCCTCCCCCCCCCCAAGTTATATCAGCAGAGAGGTACGTACTATGTTATAGCCCTATGGTAAAATGGATACCTTTTGTGTGTGTATTATATTTCTGAAACAAAGGTATGAATAAAATAGAGTAGGGGTGATTTAATCAAGGCAAACTTTGTTCTGAAAATGGGAACAGACGGCAGTGACAAAACTGAATTTGCTGCAGTCCATGATTGGGCTTGTTAATATGTACACTAGAGCTGTTTTCCAAGTAGATTGCACACTGTTATTTCATACTAGCCTTCAGCATGAGCCCTGTTGCCTACACAATATTTCATGTATTTATACGTTTGAATTTTTTTGTTTGAGTTCACTGTTTCTTTTGTTGTGTTGTATGTCATATTTGAATGTTACAAAACAATATTTTCACTGAAAAGCTGTCAGAAGATATTTTCTTGTAAATTATTTCTTTACCTTGTAAACATTTATCTTGTCTTCTAATCCTGTACTATAAAGGAAGAAATACATTTTGGACAGAGACGAACTGTTTTGACAAAAAAGTGTGGATCTTTTTATTTAAGTTTAGACAAAAGTATATTTTTCTTACCTTGTCCCATACAGCCATAGCAATTTTTCCAGGTTTTCTCCTTCAAAGATCTGCCTACAACTAGATTTACCTTTTATATAGAAAAACAATTGTTAAACAATAGTGAATTGTTCTTCACCTCTGTGTAATTTTATGATACTGCATCTAGGCTGTCTTTTTAGGAAGCACTGATGTGTCTTTTATAAACTTACTACCTTTACACATATGCAAACTTTCTATTTCAAAGCTCTTTTTAATGTTGCCTTATTGCACTAAAAAGAAAATCAAACCTAGTAGTCAATAAATGAATGTCTGAATTGAGTACAACTCTTACTTGATTTTTAAAGTAAGAACCAGGTCAGCTTAGCTTAAAAGAACCTACTAGGATTGGCTGAAGATATTCTAGCGTTTTTTTTACTGCTGTGTTGTAACTTACAAATTTTATAGATATGTACATACTACTGTATCTTCTCTAATATTTAAAACAAATATAATCATTAAACTCAGGGGTGGGTACAAGTCAAATGGAAGAAAATAAGTGTTCTGTATTGGCACTGAATTGCAAACTATCAATTTGGTAGGGCTGTTTTAAACAAGAAATTGTTATGTTTTCTATTTTGAGGGAAACCTTATTGGCTTCTTAAATCAAAAGTGAATAGATGCTGTGGGTATAAACTTGTATGTAGATGTTCATAGTCCTCCTTTAAAAAATGAGAAGTATTGCTCTTCAATTTCTGTTCAAGCCAAAAAAAAAAAAATACTGAGGGATTGGAAGGTGTATATCTCTTTATAATTTTCTCCTATATTTTTACTTGTAAATTAATTTATAACAATCCATTATGAGATGTATACATACTGATAGTATGCATGAGCAGTAACCACTGAATATTTAATCAGCATCTTCATATTTGCATAAATCATCTAAGGAATGTTGGAAAACTGTATATTTTTCTTCCGCAAAGCAGATTTACATAATTAATCATGTCAATCTGTTCTCTTAATCCACAGTGAAGGAACACCTTCATAGATCTGAAACTTTAGATTACTTTGTCCATCTAAAAGACTAATGTAATTGTTCCCACACTGTGGATTATGTTACAGAATAATTGTTTAAAAGGATGTTAATGTCCATTCTTAAAAACAATCCATGCACATATTTTCATTTATATAAATATCACAGTATGGATTAAATACAAATTACCAAACAAAAAATTAAGTATCTGGGTGTTTTTACGCTACTGCTGTGTTCAAAGAACTTGATTGTTATCTAAAAATACTATTAATCTTAATTTAAATCAGGAATAGGCAATCACCAACGTAAGACTTCATATTAGCAATGAAGTTCTTCTTGCTTTTGTGATGGATGAAATTACTTGCTTCAGCAATGAAAATTGTTTCATAAGAATTGACCTGCAGGATCAGACCAAAGGCTCATGTAATCCAGCATCCCATCTCCTGCATTAGCCAACCAGATGCTCCTGGGAAGCCAGCAAGCAGGACGTGAAGGCAATAACTCACTTCTAGCATTGCACCCCCAGCATCTTTCAGTTGGTGACTTAACTGTCTTCAAACCTGGAGGTAGCATATTCCATTATGACTAGTAGCAATTGACAGTCCTATCCTCCACTAACTTGTCTAAACATCTTTCAAAGTTATATTAGCTGCTGGTCATCTCCATATATTATGGCAGCAAATTCCATGAATTAATATGTACTGTGTATGTTCTGCCAATCCATACCATTGGATAACCTTGTGCATTATGGAAATGGGAGAAAAAAGCTTATCTCTACCCATTTTATCTGCACACATATTTAATTTTAAAGAGTGGCTGGGACCCATCAAATGGGTGGGGTATTATTATTATTATTATTACAGTGGTGCCCCGCAAGACGAATGCCTCGCAAGACGAAAAACCCGCTAGACGAAAGGGTTTTCCGTTTCGGAGGCGCTTCGCAAGACAAATTTCCCTATGGACTTGCTTCGCAAGACGAAAACGTCTCGCCATTTCCCCCCCCCGCTTCCCCCCCCTTTTTCAAAGCCGCTAAGCCGTTAATAGCCTTTTAACAGCTTAGCCGCTAAGCCTTTAATAGCCGCTAAATCGCTAATAGCGCTAATAGCGCTAAGTGGTGCCGCTAAGACGAAAAAACCGCTAGACGAAGAGAATCGCGGAACGGATTCTTTTCGTCTTGCGAGGCACCGCTGTATTATTATTATTATTATTATTATTATTATTATTATTATTATTATTCCCTGCTAATCAACTCCCCCCCCCAACTTAAATGACACAGACACTTAAGCTTTCTAATTGGGAAAGGTGCTCCAGCCTCTGATCATTTGGCTGCCCTTTCCCCAGCTTTGTGTTGCTCTTTTTGAAAACAGCTGACCAAAACAGTTCACACTATTCTAAATGTGGTTGAACCATAGATTTTATATAAGACGTAATGCTGAATTTTTCATATCCCTTTCCTGATACTCCTTAGCATGGAATTTGCATTTTTAACAGTTGCTGCACACCAAGCAAGCAGGTGAAGTTAGGAGTTCATGACCCAATGTGCACTCATATTGAATTGCATTTGCTATGTTATGCCCATTCTCCCAGTTTGGAGAAGTCCTTTTAGAGCTCCTAACAATCCATTATCACGTGGAATAATTTGATGTGATCAGAAAGCTTGGCCATCTCACTATTCATCCCTATCTCCACAGGACTTATTTTAAAACCATTTGTGTCAATACAAATCATCTTGGGACGTCACTTCTAACCTTTCATTGTGAAAAATGTCTCTTCCTCTCTGCTTCCTGCTCTGTACCAGCTCAGCAGATGCCAATCCATACAAGGACTTGCCTTCTTATCCTGTCACTGCTAAATTTACTTAGAAATTCTACTAGATCACTGCTAACTTCACATAGGAATTCTACCCTATTCACATGCTTTTTGGGATTCATAAGAAATCTGTCATGTTGGTAAGGCATGCCTTTCCTTTACAGAAGCCATCCTTATTCTGCAGCAAGACTTGTACTTATATATGTTTACTAATTTTAGCTTTAATAATACGTTACCCAAATTTACCTGGAACAGACATCAAAATAACTATTCAGTTATTTCCTGGATCTCTTCCTGTATGATATGCAGACTCAGAGATTTGCTAATCATTAACTTGTTGGTAACTCCTTCAGCTTCTCTTGGCACCTTTGACTCCGTCCTTCAGATTCATTCACTCCTCAGGAAAAGAAATCTGTCCATATATAGTATCCACCTTTCCACTTCTGCAGTGAAGATGCAAATACTTCGTTCAGTTTTTCTGTATTACCTCTCAACATATCCCTCCCCAAACAACTCCCTGGCTAATTTCCTGATTCTGATACATTTAAATGAGTTGTTTTCTTTCTTAATGTTTTTACACAATATGCTCCTGAGATTCCCTTTCCCCACTTGCCTGTCAACTTGTATTTTGCCAAAATCTGTGCACCCAGCCCTGGCTTTGCCCTACATTATCATTCCTTCCAATGAAGACTTTCTTTTATAGCATCCTTGACAGACTCTGCTTGTTAACTATACCGACATCTTCTTGGACGTCATGCCTTTCATAACAACCTGTGGTGTACCTTTTATCTGAACTTTGGTTCTTGCAGTTTTAAAATGCCTGCAAGCCCTTTCAATGAAGTTAATCCGCTTGAATCTTCCTTTCAACTTCTTTTTAAGTACATCAACTCATATATTTTTTAAAGAAGTGTCTCTTCAAGTTAAAGAGAACTTGGAACAGTTTACAATTCAAGAGAAATAGAATCTCAATTTGCATCTGAGGGTTAGCATGCATGCAGATTGAATTATTGAGAATAACGTGTCTGAAGTAACAAATACCTTTTGAATTGTGTGTGTTCCTTAAAACTGCAGGAGGACACACATCTTTTGTGGGGGTTAAAAAGCATGAGGTGGTAAGCAAATGATTTCACTTTAATTGGAGGTCTTGTCTAGTGCTGGCTTCATTAATGTACTGAATGCCCTGTGGGTATACTTGCAGAAAAGCAGCAGTTGAGCAGTAGAACTGTAAAATTGCTTGTCTGTTCTGGTCAGTAATAAAACAGTTCAAAATTCATGCCATGAAAACATTGTTCTTCAAAACCTTTAGGAATGTTTTTGAACGTAAAACTGGAGAAAGGAAGAGATAATTAGACTATTGTCAATGATGTTTCACGAAGTGCAATCCCATTCATGCATACTCAGAATGGTGTTCCATCGAGTGCAATAGAACTTACCCCCTAAGTAATTATGTGTAGAATTTCAGTGTAATCTTAACCATGTCTACTCAGAAGCAAGTCTTACTGATTTCAACGGGGCTTGCACTCAGATACGTGGGGCTAGGTTTGCAGTGTAAATTGTCCAGTTGCACTGAAAAATCCTTTCTTTAGAAGGTCAACTCAGTTGTGATATTTTCTGCAAGCAGAACAATTGAACTAATTTATTGAGATGTAGTCTGTTTCTTTATGTACAAAATTATCTGTGTTTGAAACATTCCTATTCCTCAATAAAGTACTTTTTCAAACAGAGCACCAATTCTGTCTAGGTGCCAATTACAAGGATGACAACTTCAATACTAAGAACTCTAATTTTGTTCAGGAATAAGGATATAGTTCATGTCAACAATAGCCCATAAATTGCCTACATCTGTGAAGGCATGCAGATATCTATGCAGTCTTTTGCTGTACTAAAAAGATGTTCCTTGTTAGAGTTCATATTTCTTATTTCCCTAGGACCTGTTCTCTTTACTGAAGGAGATACACAGCAAAGGCAACAAGCTGGATTATAACCTTTCATATTCTTACATTGTTTTTAGGCTTTTAGTGATAATGTATGCTACAAGTCTGCCTAAGAAATATGTTTACTGAGAATGACGCCCTAATGCCTGCAACTGGACCCATGTTATCAGGCTTCTCTCTGTCCACTAAATGCTTCTCAGCTGTGTGGTTCAGCAAGCAAGTCTGGAAGACCAGGAATTATAGCAGTGACAGAAAAACAAGGGAGGTGTTTTCTTCAGGAAAAAAAGTCACAGAACTGAAATTACAGTGTTGCTATCTGAAAGTATGGCTGGGCAAGAGTACTGAAGCAAGTTAAATATAGAATTAAAGCTCTTTATTTTATAAACACAATGCTATCAAATAGGACAAACCTACAATGAATTGAAAAATGAGGAGGAAGACATGCCCACTGAAATCAATGTAGTCTTGAATAATTTTAAGTCCATTGATTTCCATGTGTCTGCTCTGCAAATTAATTAGGTATCACCCTAATATATTTATTTTAGAAGTGCTCTTAATAAATGCATGGATTTGTTTGTTAAAATTACATAGACTCGATTAATTCTGCAAAAGTTATATTTTGGCACACGTTCATCAGAAGTCATCACTAGAGCCTCGTGTACAGGTCCATTACTGGACATAGCACTGCACTTCTCAGTAGGAGTTACATTGCTGAGCGCACCGACCCCTCTCGCTCTCCAGGCTTCAGGAAGCTATCAGCAAGCCTGGGGAGCCCGTGGGAGTTCTGCGCTTCAGGCAGATATCCGCGGCTGGGGGGTGGGGGATAATTTGTCCCCCTTTATTCCCCCCCCAAAAAACTAGGTGCGTCCCATGGGCCAGTGCGTCCTATAGGGTGAAAAATACGGTACTTTGGCAAAGTTTGGGTTTTGATGGAGGAGAGAATGATGGAGAAGCAATATCTAGAACTACTTTGGAGATTGGGTGGGGGAGACAATACAAGGGCCTGGCCTCTTCAGAGTGGCCTGTCATTAGCTAGGTCCTAGTGATTACAGTTTTCTGTCAAGCAGAGCCCTTTCCTTCTAGACTAGCCCTACCATTAGGGAGTGTGAGATGGCTGCCTCATATATCAGATTCTGAAAGATGGCAGCAGCCCCCTGGCTAGTCCTCCTAAGTCATTTGATTCTACATGCAACTTTAGTAACATGTATTGTTACCCACCTTTAATCATAAGGCTCCAGGGCGGGTTGCAACAATTAAAACAGTGTTAAAAACGCTTTCAAACAATTTACTATCACCCGCTCTGCTGATCCTAACACATGGGGATGGGGGTCTGTAGGAAAGAAAGCGGTCTTTCAGGAATTTGGGACATGAGTTGTTGAGGGCTTTAAACACTTCAGTGAGTTGGGCCTAGAATCAAACAAGCAACCAATCCATCTGCTTTAAAATGGGGGTTATGTCCCAGCTAGCTATCTGGCTGCTTCATTTTGAACCAGTTGAAGTTTCCAGGTCATCTTCAAGGGCAGCCCCATGTAGAGCGCATTGCAATAATCCAATCTGGAAGTCATCAGAGCTTGGTGTACCATGGCCCAGTCAAATGGGGCCATGGCTGGTGAAGCAGCTAGAGATGGGAAAAGGCACTTCAAGCCACTAAGTCCAAGGCACCCAGAAGCACTTGAGCCTCCAGTGACAGTGTTGAAACCAGGAGCACCTCCAAACCACAGATGTGCTCCTAGGGAAGTGCATCCCCATCGAGAGCAGGCAGTACAGACAGAAAGACATCCTCCCCATGCCCCCTCAGGTATAAATAATAAAAGTATTAATTCAGTGGCGTAACGTGGGGGGTGCAGGGGGGGCTGGCCGCACCGGGCGCAACATCTGGGGGTTAGGGTTAGGGGGCGCAAATCCACGGGTTAGGGGGCGCAAATTACTTGCTGACAACCCACGCTACGCCACTGTATTAATTAATACTATCATCACCATCATGATCATATGACTGATTGATGAACAGGAAGGGGGAGATCCGCATCCCGATCAGGATGCTGGGCTCAGCCCACCCACCCTCAGCACAGAGTCTACTGTACGTTTGCTTTCTTTCTCCCCTTCTGCTGCCAAAATAGTTCAAGCCTTGGGGTGGGATGTGGGGAGTCACCCTATTCTAAAGGTCATGAAGCTTACCGGGTGGCCTTAGGCCAATCACTGCCCTTCTCCACTTAACCTACCTTGCGGGGTTGTTGTGGCGATAAAATGAGGAGGATGTGGGATAAAAATATAAATTGTACAAAATACAGTGGAGAACTAATTGCTGAAGCAGAATATTATTTTTGAGGGGAGCCTGTTTTGGGTTGAGCCCTTGAAACCTCCAGCCTCCAAATACCTACTTTTCTTAAAGAGTAAATCTACTTTGCCTATAGTGTTGCGCCTGATCCTCAAAAGGCTTGCATACAATTGAGGGGCGGGGGAGGAAGAAAAAGAACAACGCAGCGCAGTCCGTTCAGTCTGCAGGGGAGCTCCTGTTTCGGATCCGATGCAGGTGCAACGAGTGGCAGCCAGGCGCCTCCTCGGCTGCCAGCGCCTAGCAGCCCCGCTCCGTTTCTGCCCACACGGGGGGCCACAAACCCGGCGGACCAAAGCGACGTTTCTCGGAAAGAGCCCTGCGGTGCCCGGAGCTGCCGCTGGGGGGCGCGGCGAGTCCTCCGCCGCTCGGGCGGCGCGAAGGGAAGGGGATGCGGACGGGGCCATTTGCGCCGCCAGGAGAGGGGGGGAGCGGCGGCGGGGGTCGCGCGCGGGGAGGCTTCCGCCGCGGCGGCCGGGGAGCGGGATGGTCCAGGGAGCTCTAGGCCGTGGCTCTGCGGCCGGCACCGGCGAGCAGGCCGCGGCGGTTGCGGGCCTAGCGCCGCGGCCGGCCGTCGGGGGGGTGGCGGAGCGGTTGGTTGGGGCCGGCGGCGGCCGAGGCGCGGCGGCGGGGTCAGTTCTCTTTAGTGTTTGCCGATGTTGGAGGCGTCTCCAAAGTGTCCCTGGGAACCAGGTAACTGAGGCCGCGGGGGGTGCTCGGACGGACCCCGACAGGACCCCGGGAGGGACTGGGGGGGAGCAGAGGCCAGCGCACCGGCTGACGCCGGACTCGGGAGATGCTGGAGCCTCCGCGGCGTGAGGGGAGCCGCCTCCCTGCCTTGCCGCCCTCCTTCCCGCTCTGCCCCGGAGGCGGGCGGGTCGGGGACTCGGTCGTCGTCGTCCTGACCCTGGTCGGTCGCCCTTGCGGGGCGGACGAGGCGCGCAGGTGAGAGGGACGGCCGCCCGGGGAGCAGCGTGCTGCTCTCGGAAGGCAAAACAAACACAAAATAAAAGAGCACGCCTGAGCAGCCAGAAAGAGCCCAACGCTCTCCTCCTCCTTGGAATGGACGTGCCTTGAAATAAGGGATGCCCCCCACTCCCAAAAGGGAAAGAAGTTCTCCGTCCACTTTATATAAATACCTACCTGTTTCTATTGGGCCGCAGAGCTCTGGTTATTGGACCCCTTCATTGCTTAGCTAAAAAACCTCCAAAACTAGCCTCTTCTTCTTCTTCCTCCTCCTCCATGGCTGTCCCTAGAGAGGGTGTGACTTTTTTTTGGCTCAGTTGCTGCGGCACCTAGTGGAAGCTGTATTGATCTTCACAGCTCATTCCCAAGTCCAGGGACTGCGTAGGGAACCCTTGATTCGCCACTTTCTCCACTTTCTTAATCCCCATGGTTCATCCTTTAATGTGGAGTTAGGCAGGAGGCTTCTGACCCGAGGAAGCATGGCTTGAATTCTTCATTTGACTGCAACTTGCACCACCTATAAATTACCTGAACACTTAAAGCATCTCTTGTCCTATCATCGTCTCCCACCCATGTGATTTTGTGTTCTGTTGTAGCCGTGTTTTGTTTGTACTATGCCTTGGGCCATTATTTTAACAATGAACATTTGTATCCTGACTTTTCTCCAAGAGGCTCAGGGCAGTGTAGATCAAGGATTCCCAAACTGTGGTCTTGGGCCACCTGTGTTCTGTGAGCCTCATTTAGTTGGCCCATGGCATGTTTGTAGATTTGTGGTTAAAAGACGGGAATGGTACATCCATCACATTTCATATAGATTTTAATTGTATTTTTGCACTTTATTATATTTTACTGTTTTAAAATTTGAATTCTATGGAGTTAAAATTGTAATACAGTAGAGTACAAAATATGTAAGAACCAAAAATAGCAATGAAAATACAATTAAAAATAATACATCATTTAGCACAGTGAAATGCAATTGTTAAAATGGGCAGAAAACCATTAAGTGGCCCACCAAGACTGATGGAAGTTATGGCTTGCAGAGGAACAGCCTATATCTGTGGAACCAGGGCAGATGCTGCCTGGAAATGGGTGACTACATTCTACAGCAGGTCCAATTTGATATTACATTTATTAATGTAATATCAGTATATAAAAAAGCATCATACGCAGGACCTATCCTTGAAAGATGTAAGTTTCCCCTGATGTAGAATTCAGTGGTTCATTGCTTGGCAGCATCTGCAACTGGTTCTGCAGATATAAGTTGGCCCCCTGCAATCCATAATGCCCATCAGTCCCACCAGCAACCCTAAATGAATGAATGTGGGGCATGCCCACCTCCTCACCTATGTAATACTCTGTCATGTTAGATCTGATGGAGTTGCAATTGTGTTTGAAGGTGAGAATCAAAAGTTATGCACGAAGGCATCAGTGGCTTTCTTTCATTTTTTAAACTTCTCCCCCACCTTTCAATGATGGAGCTCAAGACAGTCTACATAGGTGGTTATCTCCTATACAGGTACTGACTGCACCCAGGTTACATAGCTTCAACAAGGGGATTGCGTTTTCTGATACTTAGTTGTAATGCCCAAGAGAATGAGTAGGTTAGAAATGAAAGTAAATGAATAGATTAGTTTTCAAAGATCAGGGTTTTAAAGATCATACAAAGTTATGTTTACAAGTAGATGATATATGTTGTATAGTCAATTAGTAAAGGAAATAATACCAAGTAAAAATATATTTGTATTGTGCTAGTGATGATCTGACACCAATTGACTAAGTTGGTGTGATGGCCTGGAATGTTTATAAATACTCCCAAGTGCCAATAATAATAATAATAATAATAATAATAATAATTTATTATTTATACCCCGCCCATCTGGCTGGGCCTCCCCAGCCACTCTGGGCGGCTTCCATAAAAACCACAAATACAGTAAAAGCACAAATAAGCAAAGCAATCCAGCTTTTCTGAGGAAAATTTGTCTTTTAGCTCATTTTCATTATACACACAGTGTTGGGGACAAGCATGCTGGGCATGCTTGAGGACTTGGAAGAGGTACCATGAGACAGAAAGGTGAAAGGGCAAGGAGGCTGAAGGAATTTCACATACTGATTTGAATTAATCCACTAATGTTTCAGACATCTCCCAGTTTCAGTTTTAGTGGATTAGCTGTTACGAGTGTTTGAATATTGCTTATCTAGCCACTCTCTGAACTGATTAATTCCATTAAAACATTTTTACATCTGGTCATAGTAATATTTTAAGTTGCTAAAATGCATAGTGATACATGAACTTTAGTAAGGGCAGTGCAGTGATGTGAAAATGTGTGTCAGTCACAGATACTTCGTGACAAAAAGTTATTGAGTAAACATTTGGTTTATAGGAGTTCTGGACAGCTTTCATAAGAGGGAAAGAGAGACAGAATAAATGAATTGGGACGCTGTTGCAAGCCACTATCATCTTTACTTTTCTGATTGTTAAACTGTCAAATGATACATCAATATGATGGGTTGCATTTTTATTAACTCTAATCTTTTTGACCTCTGACCTGCCTACTCAGCTGCCTAGTTTTGATGCCATTGGTTGAGCAGCCAGATGTCATGGCCCAATGGCTGATATCATTTTAGCCCAATACCAATAACTTTACCTCCAGCACTTTAAATATTGACTACATGCCATAGTCTTTTGAATAACACCCTTGCTGTTGCAAATTAGTCAGGTGGTTCAATAGTCTTTCAGTGAAAACATTAGCCACAGTCTCATACACTTACATGGTAGAAAGTCCCATTGAACTCAGCGCAACTTACTTCTTTGTAGAGGTGCATAGGATTTCATTGATTGACAGCTACTGCTTAGTTGAAGGAAATGATAAACTCTGTACAGTAAGCCCACAATTTACATGGGGGTTATGATTAGCGACTTCTGGGTTTTGATCATTCGGGAGCCGATTTGTTCGGGAGCCAAGGTGTTTGAGATCCAAGGTACGGCTGTATTATTTACTAAATTTATATACTCCCCTTTATCCGAAGATCTCAGGGTGGTTCACAAAATAAAAATACAGGATAAAAGCACAAAAACAAAACAATAACATCCCCTCTCACAAACACAAGTGGTTCAGGCTTTGTCATACCTCGAGTGCAAAAAGTTCCAAACCAGGGAGAAGCCACCAATAAGCTGTCCCGTGGAAGGTGCCCTTAAGAGTCTGTACTCAGTTGGTGTAAAGCACCAGACAGGGCCTGCCCACCCATGAGGCAAGATGAGGCAACCACCTCAGGCAGCAGGATCTGCAGGGGCAGCAGAGCCCGATGTAGATCTTTATCCCTCCACCTTGTTCCTGATGCAGGTCTTCACTCACTCCTTCTTCTCTGGCAGTGGGGGGGTGGGGAGAGGCATTTTGTGGTTCACCTCAGGTGCCAAAATGTCTTGGTCTGGCCCTGGCATCAGAGCTGAAAATATGAAAGACGTAGCTAATACAGCCAAGACTGATAATTTCTTTAATTGAAAACCGTTTTTGAACAGTTCAGTTGGATTGCAGGTCATATTTGTGCTTTCCCTTACGGATGGAAAGAAGCACAAAATAATACTAATACTTTGGTGTATCTTTCCCCCCTTCAGTAAAAATCAATGGCACAAGTCATGATGCAGACCACACCAAATCACTCTGGACCTCCCCAGTCTCCAGCAGTGCTAACCCCATCAGTAACAGCAACAGGTTCAGTGGTTCTTCAGCCCTCAGTGAATGGATCCATTCCAGAAGCAGCTGTCAATTGTAATAATTCCACAACTGGTCAGGTGGATTCCATACCTTCTAGCAACTCACAGGGTAAGGCGGTGGCGGATTTAAATTGTATTTTCTTTTTGTGTTATCCGTGTTAGGGGGGTTGGAATAAGTGATTCACAAAGAGCACAGAATGAAAGAAGTACTCAGAAACACCTAAAACACAATTAGTGCAGTTTCACTGCTTTTACTGAATTTAGCTTAAAGTAGAGTTTTGTTTCCTGGGCACTATAGAAGCCCTGAAAAGAACTCACCTCTCTCCCAGCTTGACTGTACCTTCTACTGAAACGTTTAAAACTGCATGAAGTTATCCAAGTGTGTTTTCTACACTAGGACAAAATGTCTAAGACTTTTTTGTTTTTGTTTTTTTTTGGCAGCAAGTGTTATTTCTTTTGTAGCTCTGTAAGTAAAACATTGTTCCTGTCCTTGTAAACTGAAACACTGGCCCCAAAAGTAAACCTGCAATGAAATTTTGTGTTGTTAATGAACATAAACAATAGGAGGAGAAATGAAATCACAGGAGGAATAAAATATTAGTAATTCCCAAGCTTTCTTCAGTTCAGGGAGCAGTGATTAAAAGGCTTAGATTAGAGGAGATGCTAGAAATGGAGAAACAATAAACAGAAAAAATGGGTTAGATCTAGACTTGCCCTTCTGCTAATGGAAGCCGGCTCCCTTCTGTAGTAGTGCCCCCCATGCCATCTTTCATGCTGTTCTGGTAGACCCTCCAGCCTTCTGTAGCAGTTTATTTTTAGGGGCCTGCGGGTGGTGACGTAGGAAGGGGGGTTCGGTGGCTGTGGGCTGCCCCGGGTGTCATCACTGGCCTGCAGTACACCCAAGCCACACATCTCTCCTGGGAATGACACGCTGACTTGGACACCTGCAGGCTCTGCACTGCCCGAAACGGCAACGTGGGGCTTGTGGTCTCAGTGGAGGTTCTGCACAGTGTGCTCTGCCCCGGCTTGCCCTACTCCGTGGGTGGCTTGCGCCACCCCTGGGTGCAGGACATTTGCACTGCCCTGGGTGCCCAAGCAGCTAGCTATGCCACTGCTTGCGGGGGGGGGGGGGGGAGGAATCTGCGAAAACTGCCTCTCCTATCCCTCTTTCCACCAGTGGGAGAATTGCATGAGCAGAATGTGACTCAGGTCGGGTCTGGATGCAATACACAAATTAAAGATTGTAATTGGTAACTTAACATTAAGGAATTTATATAACATATATTTTAAGATGAAAGGGACGCGGGTGGCGCTGTGGGTAAAACCTCAGTGCCTAGGACTTGCCGATCGCATGGTCGGCGGTTCGAATCCCCGCGGCGGCGTGAGCTCCCGTCTTTCGGTCCCAGCTCCTGCCCACCTAGCAGTTCGAAAGCACCCTTAAGTGCAAGTAGATAAATAGGTACCGCTTTATAGCGGGAAGGTAAACGGCGTTTCCATGTGCTGCGCTGGTGCTGGCTCGCCAGAGCAGCTTCGTCACGCTGGCCACGTGACCCGGAGGTGTCTCCGGACAGCGCTGGCCACCGGCCTCTTAAGTGAGATGGGCGCACAACCCTAGAGTCGGACACGACTGGCCCGTAAGGGCAGGGGTACCTTTACCTTTACCTTATATTTTAAGATTCATATGCTT